TAAAATACCAAACGTGTTTAGATAGAGAGTATCACATCCATGACTTAAACCAATAACCAAATTAGCAGAAATTACAAAGAAATAATGCTAAGGTTTCCAAAATAATAAGAACAACATCCTAATCTAATCCTATCTAAGCCCCGATGTCACATGTCCTATTAGAGCAAATCCCAACATTAAAGCCTAAGCTTCGTCACCAACATCCTCAACCTCATGCTGATAATCACATGTATAATAGTCAAAGGAAAACAACACAAAAGAAAAGGGAGTGAGAAACATCTCACTTTGGCTCACAGTGTATGAATACACACCAGATAGCCAAACACAAACAAGACATAGCATAGATAGATTAACAACAATATCACATTCCACTCATCAAAGGCATAAAAATCACATTAACGTATAAGATTAAAATGCACATGTAATGGACACGGACTACATATTATCATGCATGTGGCGCTAGTAACACATATCACATGGCATATTGCCGCTAGCAATACACAAGAGTAGTCTAGGAGTACATGTCGAGTCACACCCTCTACACACTCTCACTAGAAGGACATACTACCAGGGTCTAGTCGCGATAGCTAAGCCACACAAGATGCATCTTATGCACACAATGGGGGAGACTGAAACTTACAAACCGAGCTATCCCCAAGGACTAATCCCCAAGCTTTTACACAAGGGGGCCTTCCCTGGCGGTGTATTCCATATCGTACCCTTAAAAACATTTATGCAAATGATGCATGTCAATCAAGACTCTATGCATTCTCATATCACATTATCATGTCTCATTATCATATCTCATTGTCATATAACATTATCATATATCCTCATATCTCATGTCTCATATTCACATAGTCTCGACAGAGCACTTTAATTTATATCAAAACTTGTCTATTTGAAAAAGTAAACACATATTCGTACATCTCATTCAACAAGGAATACAACAGAACAATCAGAAGGTAAAACAAAAAATATTAGAAATTTGCCTATTTCTCATAGGGTTCCCACAGGAACCCACAGAGCATTCTAATTCATACAATAAACATTTAAAATAGTATAATTAACTCATACAATTACCTCTTCAAACAATCTCCTCTTACAATCACCAATGCATTCCCTTAGGGTTTCCCATAAGAACCCATAGAGATCTCAAATCATACAATTATTTACATATAAGGAGAGTAATAGATGAAACAGATACAATTGGGGAAAATCTCCCATACGTGAGCACACAACAAACATAGGATTGAGGGCCAATCCCACTACCCAACATACATTCCCACACCCAGAGTGAGGTTTCCCATTCCCCCCTTACCTCGATAAGTAGGAGCTGAAACTAAAGTAGGATCTTGCTGGTCTCCTCCTCTGGTTTCCCCTTGGTCTTCAAAGAGTGTAGAAGAAAAACAAGTCAGAAGTGAAAAGTGTGCTTTTGGGAGTGCCAGAACGTGTTATTTATAGACGTCAGGAGTGGCCAGAATGACCTATTTCGAATCCGGAACAGCCCATTCTGGACCCATTCATCATGTGTAAAATTCGCATCTAGAATGGCCCATTCTGGGGTTGAGTTAAACCCATAACGACCATGTTTTGAACGACCCATTTTTAAACCAGAATGACCCGTTCCCAACTAGGGTTATATGCCATTTTAGTAGTTTCAAAATATTTAATAAAACTCATTTACTTAATTAAAATAATTATAAGAAAGTAATTTCCATAAATATAAAAACAAATAATAAATAACCATTGTATTAGTAGAAAATTTGGGATGTTACAATTCTCCCCTCCTTTTAGAAATTTTGTCCCCGAAATTACTTGAAGTAAATAAAAACGGATATGTTTCTTGCATCTGACTTTCTAATTCCCACGTAGCACTTTCTTCAACATTTCCTCCCCCAACAACCTTGACTAAAGAAATTTCCTCACCTCTTAGTTGTTTCACCCTTTTATCCTCAATCCTCAAAGGTATAGTTTCATAAATGAGGTTATCCTTCAACTGAATGTTATCCGGATTCAACAATATGAGATGGGTCATGAATGTATTTCCTAAGTTGGGAAACATGAAAGACACTATGAAGATTTGATAGGGATGGAGGTAATGCAATTTGGAAAGCTACATCACCAATTCTCTTAAGGACTTGGTAGGGACCAATGAATCGTGGAATAAGCTTGTGAGATTTAAGTGCTCTACCAACTCCAGTCCAATGAGTTACTTTAAGGAATACAGCGTCTCCCTCTTTAAACTCAACCTTTTTTTCCGTATTTTATCATGGTAGCTCTTCTACCTACTTTGAGATGCTCTCGTTTTATCCTAGATTATCCTAACATTTTTAGTAGTCTGTTGAACTATCTCAGGTCCTAATATGGAATTCTCTCCAGGCTCTACCTAACATAAGGGTGTCCTACATCTTCTACCATACAAAGCCTCATAGGGGGCAATCCAAATACTGGAATGGTAGCTATAATTATAGGTAAACTCTATCAAAGGTAGGAAGCTATCCCAACTACCCCCATGCTCTAAGATAAAAGCCCTCAACAAGTCTTCCAAGGATTGTATGGTTCTCTTAGTTTGGCCATCTGTTTGGAGATGATATGTTGAACTTAATCTAATCTTAGTGCCTAACGCCCTATGCAAGCTCTCCCAAAATCTAGAGGTGAACCTAGGATCTCTATCAGAAACTATACTAGCAGGAACTCCATGCAACCTCACAATCTCACCTATGTATAACATGGTTAACCTCTCCAAAGGGTATCTAATGTTAATGAGAATAAAATGGGCAGACTTAGTTAATTTATCCACAATGACCCATATAGCATCCAAGTTCTTAACTGTCCTATGTAACCTAACTACAAAATCTATAGAGATGTTATCCCATTTCCACACAGGCATCTCTAAAGGTTGTAACAAACCTGAAGGTCTTTGGTGTTCTACCTTAGCTTTCTGACATACTAGGCAGGCATACACAAATTCCTCTACTTCCCTCTTTATCTTAGGCCACCAAAACATCTTCCTTAGGTCTTGGTACATCTTAGTGGCTCCTAGATGGATACTAAGGCTACTCCTATGACCTTCTTCTAGGATTGCTCTCTTAAGCTCAAGCACACTAAGAATGCACAACCTATCCTTAAATCTCAACACTCCATCCACTCCAACTCTAAACTCATTCTCCACACCTTGATTCAACTTCTCTACTTGACTCAATAAGAAAGGATCTACCTTTTGACCTTCTCTAATCTCATCTATCAAACTATTAGTCACTCTCAAGGCTCCTAACTTAATACTTTTAGGGGTCAGCTCACACTAAGCTCATATCTCTAAACTCCACAATCGCAACTCCTTAATCATCAAAGAGGACACTCTCAAAGATTTCCTACTTAACGCGTCAGCTACAACATTAGCCTTGCCAGGGTGGTAATGCAATTGAAAGTCATAATCCTTAAGGAACTCTAACCATCTCCTCTGCCGCATATTCAATTCCTTTTGGTCAAACAAGTACTTAAGGCTTTTATGGTCACTAAAAACCTCAAATCTAGACCCAAACAAGTAATATCTCCATAACTTAAGAACAAGTTGTTAGAAAAGAATGGCCAAATCCAAGAGGGGGGGTGAATTGGATTCAATGACCCTTTAAAAATTTTATCAGAGTTTCTGGATCTTCACATTCAATTAAAACTTTTCTATGACAGAATTTTCAAAATGAAGCACTTCTCAAGACTTGTTATGATAATATGAATGCAATATGCTAACTTGATTACAACATTATGAGGTTCACTAATAATGTTCAATTACAGATTTAAACCATCAAGAATTACATACACTTGTTAATCAAGTTTTATCTTCTTTAAAGCTCAACCAAGAAATTGCAAAACAAGAGATAAGGTTGAAGAAGATTGCACAAGTCTTTTATACTGGTTCAGCCACTCCACATGTGACCTACATCCAGTCCTTAATCACCACCTGATTAAGATTTTTCCACTATCTTTAAGCAAGAAGGTTTACAAGCAAACACACATGCATATACTTCACTACTAAAAGATAATCACTTTCTTGACCCCAAGAAAGCACCCCTTGTAGATCCCACTACAAGAACCTTAATCACTTGAGAAACCCTTCTCAAGATTTTCCACAAAGATTCACAAAGAAACAAACATGAAACGAATTCACCTGGAATTCTTGAACAATTCTTTGTCTTTCTCTTTCAAGGGTATGATGATGATGATGATTTTCACAAGTTCTTTCACAAATGTTTTTCTTCTTGGATTTTCACAAAGAAACCTTTCCAAGACGTCACACAGACTCTCTAAAGTGTTTTTAGAAGTTTATTATCAGTTCTTACTCAATTGTCTTCTGTTTCAAAATAGTTCAAGTCTATTTATAAAAGTTCAAACCCAGATAATCGATTATTTTAAAGAATAATCGATTATTTTGTTCTTCAGATTTCTGGAAATCAACCAAGAACAATTTAATCGATTATTTAGCTGGATAATCGATTATTCCAGAGAGTTGTTTCTGAAATAATCGATTATTTTGACAAATAATCGATTATTACAGCAAGGCATTCCACTTAGCCCATTTGCTGAAATAATCGATTATATTTAACAATAATCGATTATTTTGAGTCAGTTCTTAAAACTTCATTTTAAGTCTCAAAATAATTTTCCAATGTTCTCAACTCATCATCATCACCTACTCCCTACTTGATTTTAGACAAGATTTGCTCAATGCACAAAGCACACACACAAGTATACACAAATATAAAAATTCATCTCCTAAGTTCTATTACATAGTCTTAGATCATAGCATTCTCTTGACTCTTCTTTAACTTTGTTTTTGTGTTCTCCAAGTTGTTGCATGTTGTGATCATCAAAACTCCTTAAGCTTCAAGCTCTCCTAAGCTCAACACAAATACTACTGCAGCTAACTCAAGGTCATGGATAGGGTAGTTCTGTTCATGGGTTTTCAATTGCCTAGATGCATAAGCTATTACCTTTCCTTTCTACAAAAGCACCCCTCCTAAACCCATCATAGAGGCATCACAATACACTACAAAGGTTTCACTAGGGTCAGGTAACACTAAAATAGGGGCACTAGTTAACCTCCTCTTAAGCTCCTGAAATTTCTCTTCACACTTAGAGTCCCACACAAAAGGTTGCTTCTTCCTAGTCAATTTGGTCAAAGGTAAGGCTAGCTTAGAAACACCCTCTATAAACCTCCTATAATACCCAGCTAGTCCTAGAAAACTCCTAATCTCAAAAACTGACTTAGGTGCTTTCCACTCAAGTACTGCTTCTATCTTAGAAGGATCTATAACTATCCCTCCTTCAGAGATCACATGTCCTAAAAGGCTTACACTATTAAGCCGAAACTCACACTTAGACAACTTAGCATACAACTGCTTCTCCTTAACGGTTTGATTGAGAATCCTAAGGTGCTCAACATGCTCCTCCCTAGTCTTAGAATATACAAGGATGTCATCTATGAAGACTACTACAAACCTATCAAGATATGGGTGAAATATCCTATTCATATATGTTGAGATTCAAGGAGTAGTGAATCAACTCAGCCCTGGAGTATAAGAGTTTTGACGATAACAAAAGATGGACTCTGAGAGTTGAAGCTGACCAAGGACACAAACCAGTCAAGAAAGGAAGATATGAATATCATGATGTGTAATAGGAGTAGCTCATGAGTTCTTATGTGTTGTATTGTTTTGATTATTTTATTTTGCATTTTTTTTCTTTGTGCATGAGCTAATCTTAATCTAAATTGACTGAGAGTGAGTATGATGATGATTTAAAAAAACTTGGAAAGATTTTTGAAGTATAAAATTGACTTTTTGAAAGGTAACTCAAAATAATCGATTATCATTAAGTGTAATCGATTATTCCAACAACAAGTGAAAAGAGCCTTGCTGTAATAATCGATTATCTGTGAAATAATCGATTATCCCAGGAAGTACTCTCTGAAATAATCAATTATCCTGTAAAATAATTGATTATTCTGTTCTTGAGTGGTTTCCAGAAATCATGAAGAACAAAATAATCGATTATGCTTTAAAATAATCGATTATTTGGATCTAAAAACTTTATACATAGCTTTCACACTTTGAAACTTCAGAAGTCAGATGAACTGAGAATCAAAAAGAGAAAAACTGATATTGTGAAGTCTTTGTGACCTTCTTGGAGTGTTTTCTTTGTGAAACCAAGAAGAAAAACATTTTGTGAAATGCTTTAAAAGAGATCATCATCATCACTACATTCTTGGGAGAGAAAGATTAAGGTTTTTTTGGAATTCATAGTTTGATTTGTCCAGCTTCCAGGTGAATTCGTTCCTTTAATTCTTTGTATAATGTGTAAGGAAAATCTTGAGTAGGTGTCTCAAGTGGTAAGGAATTCTTGTAGTGGGTTTCTACAAGAAGTGCTTTCTTGGGGGGCAAGAAAGTAGTTATCTTAAATGTAGGAGTATATGCATGTGTGGTATGCTTGTAAAACTTCTTCATTGAGATAGTGGAACAAATCTTGATCAGTTTATGATTGAGGACTGGATGTAGGTCACATGTGGAGTGGCTGAACCAGGATAAAATACTTGTGCATTCTTCTCTCACCCTTATCTCTTACATTGAGCAAAATCTTAATGATCTTGATTAATATGTTTGTATGCTTAACTTTGCTTTAAACTAAGTCAAAGTATTGCATATTGGTTGTTCTTAAAACTGGACTTAATCAAGATTGATTAAGAAAGCATAGAGGACTCATTCCCATTGGCAAGTCTTTCAATAAACTTCTTTGAGAATTCATATTAGAAAAGTTTAAGTTGAAATAAAGATCCTTAAAACTCAGAAAAATTTTTAAGTGTCAAAGAATAAAATTCACCCCCCTCTTGGATTGAGCCATTTTTTTTTCTAACAATTGGTATCAGTGCAAGGTTCTTGAGTGTAAATCAAGATTTCAAAAATGGCCAACAGCAACCTACCTTATGGTGAGGGTGTTTCTATTCATAGACCTTCTGTTTTCAATGGTGAAAACTATGTCTATTGGAAAATTAGGATGGGAATTTTCATTGAAGCAATTGACATTGCTGTGTGGGATGCAATTGAAAATGGACCCTATATCCATATGACCAAAGATGGTGATGGAAAGAGAGAAAAACATTGGAGTGAGTGGAGTGATGATGAGAAAAAGAGAGATCAACATGACTATAGAGCAAAGAACATAATAACATCTGCATTGTCTATTGATGAGTTTTTTAGAATTTCTCAATGCAAGTCATCTAAAGAAATGTGGGACACATTACAAGTTACTCATGAAGGAACAAGTGATGTAAAAAGATCTAGAAAGTATACTCTTATAAGAGAATATGAATTGTTGAGAATGAATCATGGTGAATCAACTTTTGATTTTCAAAAGTGGTTTACACACTTGATAAATCACCTTGTTGATCTTGGCAGGAAATTTGAAGAAGAAGAACTAAATTTGAAGGTTCTACAATGCTTGGATAGATCTTGGCAAGCAAAGGTTACTGCAATAGAAGAATCAAAGGACTTAACTTCATTAACCCTTGCAACTCTCTTTGGAAAGCTAAGAAAGCATGAGCAAAAGCTGCACATTTTTGAAGAAAATGAAAAGCAAGATAAAAAGAGAAAAGGAGTGTCTCTAAAAGCTTTAAAATCAGTCAAAGGCAAAGAAAAGTGTGAAGACTCAAGCTCTGAAGATTCTGATTCAGAGAACTTCAACTTGCTGGTGAAGAAGTTCAGAAAATTCCTAAGAAAGAAAAGGAGTTCCCCCTACAAGTTCAACAAGAAGGCCAATAAGAAAGATGAAGGAAGCACATCCTCTTACAACTGTTTTGAATGTGGAAAACAAGGCCACATAAAAGCTGAATGCTCTAACCTTCTAAAGAAGCAACAAGAGGAAAAGAAAGGGAAGAAAAACTACAAAGGAAAAAGAGCCTACATAGCTTGGGAAGACAATGACTCAAGCACAATAAGTGATGAATCTGAATTTGAGGAAAACAACTTATGTTTAATGGCTGGAGCTGATCAAGATAAAATAGTAAGTGATTCTGATCTTGAATCTAATCCTGATTATGATCAACTCCAAGAAGCTTTCATTCAAATTCACAAAGAGGCTGTGAAATTAGATGCTTTAAATTCTAAGCTTAAAAGCAAATTGTCATGGTATGAAAATGCTTTAATTAGAGTTGAACAAGAGCTTGAAAATTTGAAGAATGAACATGAAAACATGCAAAAAAATTTGAATTTCAATGAAGCTCATTGTGAAACCTCCCATTCCTCAAAAGTTGATTGTGAAAGTTGCAAGCTTTTAGAAAGAGAAAATGATGATTTAAAAAATTCTCTTGTAGAATTCACAAATGGAAATGCAAATTTGAATATCATTTTGGGAAAGCAAAGACATGTTTTTGATAGAAGTGGACTTGGTTTTAATCAAAGCATGAACATGCCATCAAAATCAAAGGAAAGAGATTTTAAAAGGAACCAATCTTTTAGAAAATTTAAAGGCAATTTCATAAAAAAAACTACTTGCTTTTATTGTTGTAAGAAAGGACATACAATAAGAAATTGCTATTCTAAGAAATATGGTGTTCCAAATGGAGAAATGATTTGGATTAAAAAGAGCCAAAGGCTGAGAACTAACCATCAAGGACCCTTCACATGGGTGCCTAAATCAATTTTCTGATTTTGTTGTAGGAATGTTTGAGAGCCAAAAGCTTACTATGGTATCTTAATAGTGGCTGCTCAAGACATATGACTGGAGATCCTTCAAGGGGAAGATTCTTGGCTGTGGAAATATTGGTAACTCTTCTTCCTCAACATTAATTGAAAATGTATTGCTTGTTGAAGGCTGAAACATAACTTGCTTAGTATAAGCCAACATAGTGACAAAGGATTTAAAATTGAATTTGATAATACTTGTTGTTTAATCTGTGATAAATTGACAAAAGAAATTAGATTCAATGGAAAAATAATTGACAACATTTATATGCTAGACTTAGAACATTCAATCATAATTTCTAACACCAAGTGTGATGGAAACCTTGTTGAGAAACCAGATTGATGTTGATTCCTCTTCAAGATCCTCCTAGATCTTTTTCTCCTTGATTCTTCTTAAGCTTTTCTAAGGTCTCCAATGGAGGAAGAGACCGTAGAACCACCACGGTTTGGTGGAGAAATCTCTCAAGAGATGCCACTCCTTGGTGAAGAGATAAGTCTCTTCAATTTTCACCACACTCTTCTAGTGAAGAGATAAGAGAATTGGATGAATATCAAAGAGGTTTGGGACTTTTAGAAGAGAGAAATCTGAACAATCTTTAGAAACAATTCTCAATATAAGCCAAAAGTGTTTTACAATGAAGGATAAACAAATATATAGGAGTAGGAAGCTTGGAGAGCAAGCTAGCCTTAACCATGGTTCACTAGGAACCATGGTAAGGTCTAGCTAACCGTCCATGTTCTAGAAGCTTGGAGAGCAAGCTACTCACTTAGCTTGCTTGGTAAGCAAGCTAAGGAGAAACTTGTGCTTCAAGCTTCTAAGCTTGAGAAAGAACAAGCAATCTGACCATGTGAACACTAGGCAAGGTGGGCGGATCATGGACTTAGTTTTGCTCCAACCGATTTTGAAAAAATGTTGATTTGGTTTAGTTAAGTCCATCCAATGTGAATGGAACCTAGCTAAATCAAATCTATGAAAAATTAGGAGCAAAATGAGTCTAATATGTAAAATTTTGCCTAGGCCCATTTCTAGCCCAATTGCTAGTAACACGCTCTAGCTTGCTAGTCACACTCTCTAGCTTTGCTAATGCCACTCCCAATCCTACTACTAAAAAATAAGAAAAGAGTGTATTTCTAGATTTGGTTAAATGGAGTCAAAGTTCCCAAGTAACCTACCCTAGAAACAATATACAATAGCTAATAAAAGGAAATAAAGTGCCTCACAAATACAAAGACAAAAATACACTTATACAAGTATCTACTATATACAAGGTACAAGAAATCAAACTATACAATGTATGTACAATAGAAACTCAAGAGACTAATAAGAGGAATCACTCTCAATACTCATATTGAGCATAGGTCTAAGAAGCACCTCCTCTGTAGAAGCCTCCTCTAGCCTCCTAACCATGGACCTAGTTAAAGGCCCAATGGTCTTCAAGGGTGAGCCTCCTTGGATCAACCTTCACCCTTCTTGGTCTTACATCTTCCAAAAGGATCCTTGGGGATTAGATTTCCATCAATTTGTTTGATAACTAAAGAAGATAATATTTGGCTTTGGCATAGCCATTGTATTAGTAGAAAATTTGGGATGTTACAATTCTCCCCTCCTTTTAGAAATTTTGTCCCCGAAATTACTTGAAGTAAATAAAAACGGATATGTTTCTTGCATCTGACTTTCTAATTCCCACGTAGCACTTTCTTCAACATTTCCTCCCCCAACAACCTTGACTAAAGAAATTTCCTCACCTCTTAGTTGTTTCACCCTTTTATCCTCAATCCTCAAAGGTATAGTTTCA